TCAGTCTCTGAAGTGGCATGCAACTTTTTGGGCCTGGGGAAGCACATTTTGGTTTCACATTCTTTGTATGGCAGAAAACATGCCTCTGTAGAAGGTCCAGTGTCATCTCATTGACTTGAAAGCCCTGAAGATGTTCAGAAAAAACGGGTTTGAAAGACAATACGTGGATTTGATGCACAATTTTTTTTATGATCAAAAAAGCACTTGATTTCTATCTGCTTCGTCTTGAGATCACTAGATGTGGTCAGGTGGTTAATAGATAAGCTGTGAAGCTGTAGGGAGGTGTTGAACACTACTAGAAGTACTGTTATTAGAGAAAAATGGTACCCCCAGGAGCTTTGGGAAGCTGCCAGCACTTCAGTGGGATGTGGGAAGCTCCTCAGCCTGTATTGGCAGTGGTTGTAATGTGGTCCCGGAATCACAGCATGAAGATTCAGGCTGGAAGAGATTGAAGCATGATTCCCTGGGAGACCTCTTAGTCATAAAGAGAGATGAAAAATGTCCAGCTACAGTGTTTGTTTACTGTAAGAAGTCCTGTGAAGCTGCTGGACAGGGTGCCCTTTGGCACGAAGAGGCGCCTGGCTATCTGCCCCCTCTGCTCTGGCAATGCCTTTGTTGGTCGCAATATTCTAGCACGTAGCTGGTCTCCAAGGCAATGGTAAAGATCAAATCTCCTCGTCGAGGCGAATTGCAAGAACACCACATTAAAGTTTTCCTTTGGTATTTTACTCCAGTCTCCTTGGAGCTTTTATTCCTGTAAAGGAACAAATGTCACTTGTTTTCACAGAGGTTGTCCTTAGCTGGTCAAAGTTGGATCTCTTAACGAAGAGCAGGGCTCGTTCGGACCTCTGCACAAAGTCTTTGTGGGAAGTGAGGTAGGGGCTGTCTTACAGGAGTGGAGTCTTGGCTTCCACATGGATCACACCTGTGCTTTGCAGGGTACATGCTCCAAACCACTGGGAAGGGTCAGGCTTGGTTTTGCCCTGCTGTAGCATGACAAGCAGTGTTCACACTGGCAGATGTGATAAACGCGCTGTAACAAAGCACATCTAAATCAAGTTACGTTAATTATTTTCTGGTCTTTCAATGCTTTTGCTCAAGACTCTAGAAAAGGCTTTTGAAAAATGCTTATCCATACCTAAGCACAATACCTAAGAAGGTAAGAAAAATCTAGGGGAATTGATTTGACAGATAGTAACCTCTGGGATAGGAGGAAAGACAGCTCATGCTGAGAGTGCAGAGCCTTGCAGGGCTGGAAATCCGTTCCTTTTTGTCCCGTGTCACTTGGGTGACATATCCCTCAAATGCATGCACATTCCCTCCAAACATTCCCCATAGCTCTGGTAATATTTTCCTCCATCATGGTCATACTGTGAGGATTAATTCCTTCATGTTTCTTTGAAATGGAGGAGGAGCTCAGCAGATTGCCTGCAGCGAGGTGCAGTAGTACTCCCAGGGAGACACCTGTAGGTGAGGGGACATGCATTGCAAAAGCCAAAACCAGCAGTGTTGCCAATTCTATTAATTTAAAAGACCAGGAGTCCAGCTTATGAAATTATAGTAGTTTAAGAAGCAAAATTAAATCCAAAAGATCCATGAATAGCATGCTTTTTCTCTGTTTAATGCAACTTCATTGTATGCAGTGTTGATGTTTTATGTCCTTTAATTATGAGTTAGAAACAGTTTTTCAAACGGAAGTTAAAATGCTTGCATATTTTCATGTATCTAGGTAGGAGGGACTTTAAGTACCAAACCACATGTCACGAGGCCCAGGCTGAAGCTGCAGGAGCAGCCTGTGTATTCTAGCACAGTAGAAGAGGATTTCCATTGCCTTTTGGCTCTGGGGGTTAGAGATACATGAGGCTCCAAAGCTTAATCCCTGTTAGAGCCCTGATAACACTGATCTTATATGTAAGAAGCTTCAGAACCCTTAATTGCAGTTCCATATGTTGTTGAGTCCAGAAGCTGATCACCAGGCATTGAAGTAGCCAGCAGAGTAAAGGTTCAGTCAGGAAAGTCATTCTACAGGGGTGCCTAATTTCTAAGTGTTTACAGCTCTGATTAGCTATGTTCTAATAATATTCCTGGATGTTTTGTGGTGGCAAGGACTTAATAAATATGATTATTAATCCGAAGTTTAGCAAGTAACATCTTCATAATTTAGCCCCAGGAAAAAATGTGCTTCAGTGTTCCAGCTTACTAAATGAAGGCAGTGTATTCGTGGCTGGATTTTTAGTATCTATGTCTATATTTATCTATTTGTCCATCTCATCTGGCTTCAGTATCACTGAACTGTAGAGATGATCAAAAGCAAAATGAGAATGCTGAAGCTGGGGTCTCATTTGAAATATTGTCTTTCCAGACTGATATTTTTCCAGTCATTCCGCCAGAAGTCTCCATCATCTATTTAAATTGTCGTCTAAGTGCAACTCTTGGCCCAAGCCAAGGCCATCTGTTGTTGAGTAATAGTTGTGATTTATTCTGCCTCTGGTTGACACTCATTCTCCTGGGCCAGATGCTGACTTGCAAAATTTGCTTTTATTAATTTTCAGTTTTAGATCATGTGTTAATATCACAAATAGCATTTTAATTTTAGACTTTTTTTGTCTAGTGGTTAAAATTAGGAATGAGTAATAGTATCACGCCCCTCTCTGGAATGCAATTCAGCATACTTGAGAACAGGATAGGACATTTTAGAAATACATTCAAACAACGTTTCTAAATGTCTGCTTTCTTCCTAATCACTAATCTCTGTGCTCATTTTGGTTGCATATAAATAATTAGTAGCAGTTTGGGTTTAGAGTTGACTGGCTTTTTGTATGTCTGTCTTCTCCAGAGTTGGTGTTGAATCACTGAGGGATTGTGCAGCAACTCCAAAGCACATTTGGATACAATTGTGAAGTCCTTGTGGTAGTTCTTAATACAATTTTTACACAGAGTAAGTAAAAGTGCCATTATAAGCAAAGCTAAGCCAGGATAAATTAATGCACCAGTCTTCAGATAGGTTAGCAAAAAATAGTTGTTACTCGTAATGATTCTCAGGTGTGCAGTACTTCTGTTTTGCTAAGTAATGATGGTGTGGACTCTTGGAAACATTGAAAAAGAAAAATAAAACAGTATAAGCATTTTTAAGTGATGCTAAATATAGTCGTCAAATCATGACAAGGACATGATTACAAAATGTAGTTGCAGACATCTTATCTTTGGCCTGTTCCCTTGGGAACATTGGATTTCAAGAACAGTTTTTATGTAAAGTTCATTGTCTTACTGAATGTTGTCTTAATCTTAGTGGTTCAGAAGTGAAATGGGAATTACATGTGTGATCTGAGATTTATACCAGAGTGGTTTTATAATTTTGGTACCAAGATGTTTTTTACAGACTTTCATTTAAGTAATGTTTTCTTCTCATGGTCAGTCATTTGGGGTTTTGAGGGGGAAATTTTTGATGGGAAAAAAAGAGAGTGGTATTTCTTCAATTCTCTGTCTACAGAATATCTTGATATATTTAACACCTAACTGTGTGTAACTCAGTTCCCTGAATCTTATACATAACAATGCAGTGTTTAGGTATTAAAAAGGCAAAATTAAAGTTACCCTGACATTAATAAATTAATAACTGTGCCCTGAAGGAAATCTGATTCAGTCTGTTGAAAAGATCACCTTGGCCAAAAGTATGAGATGTGTGTATGCCTGTTCTTACATGGGAAACCATGAAATGAGATGGGCCCATCAAACTTGCTTCTGCTTTTTAACCATGTGTCTGGATCTTGGAAAGCAAAAGGCAGATGTTCTCTTCTGAACCTCTTAATGAGCTGGTGTCCACCTATTTGCATGGCTACACCTGCCAGCTTTTATTCTTCTCAGGGACACTGGGAATGAATTGCTGGGGTTGGGAGAAGGGCAAACACGGGGGCTGGGAAAATAAACCTCTCCATTAATTCTTTGAGACCTGGAAAACGTGCTTGGTGATTGGGAGGTTTTCGTTTCACTTAGAGCCTGAGTTATAAATTTAAACTCAATTCAACAATTATATAAACAGCCTTTTGTTCCTAATTACTAAGAGAGAGCAAACATGCTTCCTTCACGATGCCCACTGCATGCTGAGACAGTGCAGTGAAGCAAAGTTCTGTCAGGGAAGCTAAACTTTGAAAGACATGGGAAGGTTCCCTCATCCTCAGTAGTCTCTCTTTGGTCCAACTGGATCAGCAAAGCACAATAATGTGGGAGAGGCCTGGACTGGAGCTTTCGAGTTCTGTCGATAAGGGAAGAACCATATTTTCCCTTGAGCAATTTGAGTTCAGCAACAGCAAAGAAAAAGAAAAACAACCTGAAGAAAGGCTGCATTTTTCCTTGCAGGTCAGGTCCATATCCAGAGTGTTTCCTGCAGATGCAGCTTCCACTGCTCAGACCCAGGGTAGTTAGTTTGAGCTCTGCTGTCTTAGGGCAGCACCCAGGCACCTCACAGTTGAGACAGGATACTAAAGCACAGCTTTACCATCAAACTTCCCTGGGAGGTTTTGTCAGCAGAGCTCATATTTTACACCCCACCACAACTCTGACCAGTGAGTCCTACTGCACCATGCATGTGGTGCAGAGCTTGACAGAGACAGCAAGATGACTTCCAGTAAACAGTGCTGCAAATAAAACTCCCAATTCAGCAAGGTCCTCTAACCACATGTTTAAATATTATTGAAGTCAAGTTAAATTACTTCAATCATATATCCATAAGTACTCAGTTGAATGAGGGCTTAATAGTAGTTTCCATCTCTTTCCACATAATCAAGGCTTTTTGATATTCCTCTGCATGCGATAGGGATTTCTTCTTGGTTACACAGCGTGAGCAATTGCTGTGACTTTTGGAAGACTTCCACAACGATATGAATTTTCTAAGCTGTTGTAAATAGTTCTGTGTGGAATGCCTGTAACACAGAATGGAAAGGAATTTTCCCAGCTCTGTACTTTCAGAGTAGATTTAACACATCTTTTCCACTGTTTTCCAGGACCACCTGTTATTGCCAGCCACCACACATAATAAGACCAGAAGGCCGAAGATGTCTATAGTGTTGCCAGCTGTAAACATCAATGGTAAGTCCAAAACATGAAAGAGAACGATAAGAGAACAATTTCAAAGAGATGTGCCTGGAGTGTACATGGAAAGAAAACTTAGATTAAGTGTCTGTCATTGTAGCAAAATATAACAAAAGAAGTGAAATGGGTCATTACTGGACCTTAGTTGCCAGGGTCCCCTTGAATCTGCAGTACTGACAAATCACCAGTGCCTGGTCACCCAGACTGTAGATGGGACTTGGCCAGCAGTTCTGCAGTGTCTCATTCTGGCTCCTTCAAGAACAGAGGGGGTGCCACGCAGTTGTGCTGATTTGTACACAGCTGGTTAAAGGGTTACATGAACACCATTTAACTTCTCTGACTTGGTGGCTACAGAGATCCCGTTGACACCGTCCTCATCTTCTCATTTGTGTTCCTCCTACGCCTGCTTAGCAGGGCAAATTCCTTGGCCTTGCTGGTTTGTTAGGATGCTGACTGCCTTCCCTCGGCTTCCTCAGCTGTTTACCACTCTGTTATACAACACTCAGTGTGAGTGGGACCTCTCAGCACTGCATGGTCAAGATTAATAATCATCATGTTACAGTGCTGCAGGACAGCAGGGAAAACAGCTTTGCAGTGGGGCACAGGCTTATTGGTGCACAGAAATGTTCTTGATCCACATTTCAGTCCCACATGAGAGACAGGACATGGCCTGTACAAATATATCGTTAATTCCTATGGTGAGGAACTGCCGATTTAAGACATATTTGGGTCACAGGGTCGTTGTCACAGTCATCAAACGCATTGTGAACCCTGTAACAGTGTAAACTTTACTTTCTGAGTAACTCTGCACATAACGCTTTTTTAAAACGTCTGTGTTTTACAGTCCATGTGAATCATAAACCCAAATGTTATTGTTAAATTGGAGCATGCCGAAAACATTATCTGATGATGCGAATTTCCATAAACTAAGGGGAAAAAAATCAGTTCAGACTTTCAGCATTTTGATAATTACACTTTCCCATACAGTACTCTCGAGTGTGATAATCTGTACAGCTGCCTTAGGGGAATTTTTATGAGATATATCAGAATTACTTTTGGCATTTATCTGCCTGAAACTCCCTTTTTATGTCTATTACAAAAATCCTTTTCTGGCTTAGCTGAATTATCACGTGCAACTGGGCACTTTATCACTTGATAACAAAGTATTTCTTCTTAACAGTTTACTGAGTCCTGTTTTAGTTGAAATAATTTTTCAGCTGTTGGAGTAAATATAATTTGGAAAATATGCATCAGAATCCAGTGACAAGTCTTATCCTTCATTTATTGTTTCATTATTATGAAACATTGTGAAATTATATTTTCCTGAGTTCTTTGGGATTTTTCTGTGGAACATCAGCATAATCCAGGAAATAAAAAAATGTCCAGGGATTTGGGCAGAGATGTCAAAACAGATGAGACACGAGGATAGCATTAAGTAAACAACGGTGTCAAACACTGATTCCTCTCTGACACCCAGCCAGGTATTAGGAACAAAATTATAAGATACACAAGAAACAGATGGCAAGTTGGCTTGATTTTCACTTGACTATTGGTAGATAACCTGAAAGAAACTATTTCCTAGAATGTTCTGTCTGGATAAGAACCCATTTGCCTCCTTCGAGAATATTGCTTCTCCACCCTATTCTCCCTCTGTGGGGACAGAGCATGTCCTGAACAAGCATCTGGAAGTTAGCTGACAACAAGGCTTTCCTCCCAGCTGTCTGCTGTTCTTTTGAGCCCACCTTAGTTCTTTGTGCACCTGCAGAGAGTTGGCTGCTAGAAAACGATGAGTCTCCTTGGGAGAAATTGGCAAAACTTTCAGTGAAAGAACTTGTCCCCTCCTGCCTTTTCTTGTGCCTCAGCCAGATCTCTGTGCAAGAAGGGAAGCCTTTTCTACTGCCACTTACTTGCCCTTCCTTTTTGCTGCCACAGCCCTGGCAGAGGAGATGACAGGAATGCAAGTAAAAGGGTCTTATTTTTGAAACTCTTTCCAAACTTCATGACTTACTTTTTTCTGTGGAGTCTTTTTCTGTGTATTAAAGTTTACCCATGGATCTGTTTCCAAGCAGGAAACAGTGCAGTTGAGAAGCAACCCTTTGAATTACTTGGACAGTCTTCTCCCATCAGGATAGATCCTCTTCTGATCACACTTTGATTGCTCTAGTACTTTCTGAGCTCCACTAGAGACTCTGACTTTAGCTGGCTTGAGCCATTCTCACCACTGTAGTAGACATGTGCATGCACTTGTGTGCAGTCAGTAAGATGGAAGTTGAGGAGAATGATATTGTACATGATTAAGTTTCAAGGTGAAGACTTGATTTAAAGTGTCCAGTTGCTGTATGTTGGAAAACAGTAAAAATGGCCATTACTTATAGTTTTCTGCCACATGCTTCTTCTCCCAGTCACCCTGAACCGCCCATGCCCCTCTGCAGGCCTGAGGATAAGCCAGACAGATTCTCACTGAGGGCATCTGTGCAGGTGCACAGAAATATATTTCAATATTTAAATATGTTTAGTGTGTTAACGTATGTTAAATAAATTTAATGTATTTTTCTTTTAAGTATAGGAACTTATTGCACCTTCATACACGTTAGTCCTCTCCCTCATACTCTCTTTTCCTTCCTCCCACCCTGTTCATAGCCTCTTTCCCCCAGTTCACAGTCAATACTTGCTTCCAGGTCCTCCATTTCTAGCCCCCTAGATGCTCTTGCAGCTCTGCTCTTGGCCCCTTGGCCAGACATGCCCAGTTCTGACCTGCCTCTGCCCAGCATCAGAGCCCCAGCATTTGTGGACACATGTGATACTTGCAGAAAATCTGCCTGGTGGTACCTAAGGGCCTTTGTGTTGGTAAGCCTGGAGGGAAAGAAGCAGAACCATGGAGACCTAGTCCCACTCTACATGGTTTTTGAGGCACCACTGGTCTGCCTTTTGGAGAAGTTATTCCAAGAAGAAATATCTTGCAGTTTCTCATGGGAATGAAAACCAACTGCAATTTACTGTTAAACTCCAGCTTTTGTTTTCAAGCAAGTCATGTTTGTTATGCTGGATTGCAACTATTATTTTAGAAATCTAACTATGCACTAGAGACCATTTAAGTCTCCAGTAGGTTTCATTCCTAAATTTGCTTTTATTGTAATTCAGAATCTTGTTGGCTCATTACACCAATACCAAACTGACATATAGGCGGTGCCTTTCTTGAAGTTTAAGTGAAACCATCTGCCATTAGCCTTCTATTTATTTAACTGCTGTAAAAAATGCGGTGGGTTATGACATCGATCTTTGGATCCAAATAATCTATAGAGTACAGCACAGCCAAGCCACTCTTCCTACCCCAAGCCTTTTTTGCCCTGCAGAATGCCTGCAGCTTTGCAGCACAGCACACCCCACGCTCCGCTCTGCAGCACAGAGAAGTGAGAACATAGGTACAGCCATTCAGGGCTGGAGATTCCATTCAGCGTTTGGCCCAAGAGCCCCTTCCATGAACGCATTTCCCCCTAGGATTAGGTGAGGTGCTCTCACAGCTTGCTCTGCCTCTTGGTAGGAGCAGCTGTAAATGCCTATGTAGGTGTGTACTAACCAGGAGTACTGGTGGCCTTAGCAGCAGGAGAAACACTAAAAAGGCGTTTTTTCTTCTTAGGATCCCTGTGCAAAACAGTTCCCTGAGCGTGAAAGTCCTTCCATCCTTTGCTCTCTTAAATTGAGGATTGGTGTCTGCACTTTCAGCCAAAAAAAAGTGAGAGACCTGATGAGAAAGCCCCTGGTGCAATCTGAGGCTCATTTTCTTGGAATTGGCAACCATGACAGAGAAGGTTTTGAAATTTTTACAAATATTCTGGATAGGTCCTCAGTCTAATGTAACCCAGCAGGGCTTGTCTTCAGTCTGCCTTAGCTGTTTGTGTGCCTGACCCTCTATCACTTGTAGGTTTCTGGGTTCTTGAAGAGTCCTGTTCTTTTAAGGGTTACATTTTTTCTTGAAACACAACATCAAAATAAACTTCTAAAGGCAGAAGTGAAGTGGGATAGTGAGTTTTGCAAAGTCCATGTGCTCTATTGTGTTGGCCAGCTTCTGATGGTGACCACTTCCCTCAGCTTCCCTTGTAAGCATCCATCATCATCATACTGGTGTAAAAGACTTCAAAAATGCTCTGAAATAATACACATGCTAATTAAAAAGGTGAAGTGGGAAGTGATAAGGCTTTTTGATCAAAACTGGAGTGATTCCTGACATGAAGCTGCATGATTATTTGCATGAAGCTACAAAGAACGTTCTTTCAACTGACAGCCATGTGCAAGCAACTCATAGATGTCCAAGGCTGGTAGCAAACTGTCTGTGAAAAATCCATAGGGCAAACAGAACCCACATGGGCTGAGAAGGAAAATAAAAACTAAAGCTCTTCGGGAAGTGACAATGTTCTGTAAGTTCCCATGTCTTGGGGTTGAATAAATAAGGTCTTCAGCTTCCTCTGCCTTTCAAGGTCAAGCAAACAAAGGATGCTATTTCCGTTTTTCAGAGCAAGAAGCAGAATTCCCAGTCAGTCATTGAGGAAGGTCTAAAACAATACGTATCACCCACTGAACAGCAGCTGACTTCCCTGAAGGTTACTGCTTGATGTTTTGAGTAGCCTTCTCTCTCACTTGGAAGAGCCTCAGAATGGTTTCCAGGAGGGTAATGGCCCCACCTATCTCTAGCTGTTGTTGGTTCATTCTTCTCCTTGTGCTTGAAAGCCAAGTCTTGGTGCCTGTGGCTTCCTCTCACAGCTGCTCTCCTTGCCCCAGACTGAGAAGCTCATGTCACTCTAGCAGGCACAGAGGACGCATCTCTTGGGTGCAAAAGCATGATCCATAGAGATACTGCCCTCATTGTTTCTGCTTTTACATCCAGATTTAGCAGAAAATGCTGAGAACTCAGCACAGCCCTATGAGCAGAAAGCTCTGGACACTGTATATGTGGGGTTACAGCCTATCTGTGAGATGAAAGAAGGGTGACTGCTAAGGTT